ACAGTTTAAGGAAGAAGAAGACTCTGCGTCAGCGCTTCTGATTTTGATTCTTTTTTAAATGGCCCAATAGCAAGCCAACACATGTCTATTTCTAATTGGCCTAGCTTAAAAATTCATTAAATACTCATATGTGTGCCAAAAAATTCACCGAAAATTACCCCAAACTTCTAATCACGTGTACCTTTATTTCATGACCTCCAATTTACATGTGCTTTTGGTTAGATTAATTGGTAAATTTTGGTTAGATTAATTGGTATTAACTTTTGTTAGATTAATTATGTAATTGACATGGATTTGTTCATATTTGATATGAATTTTGGTAAACTCACTGTGTCAATGACAAGGATTTTGTTCATATTAATTGATATCCATATAGACTATAATCAATTAGTTGTAGACGTAAAACTTTTATTTGTTTTAATTATAAGTGACATTTTGCACCTCCCCTGAAAAATTCCTGGATCTGCCACTGACCTCACTATCTCTCTCTCTCTCAAGAACAACCCTTACCTTCATGTTTTTGAATGTTTCAGTGGGTAGTGCCCTGTGGGGTTTTCCTTGTTTTAGTTTCTGGTTTCGTTTGTTTCTCTCCCGCTTGGTCTTGCCCCTCCGCTCATCACTCTCTTTCTCACCTCTCCATTCGCTGGGCAAACCCTCCCTTCCCCGACAACATTTTTTTTCTTCAATATTTGTAGATTAATTTTAAAAAGTTTTATAGGTTTTTAAAAGACACAAAGATGTTTATTATGTGTATTTAACAATAAATTTAACAAAATGGACAACAGTGACTAACGGTCCTAAAAATTGGGACTGAATTGGCCAAATTGAAAACACAGGGACTAAATTGGCCAACGTGGTAAAACACACAGTGTGTTATATGAGGTGAATTAAGTGATCTTTAAGAAATTGCCATTATTATATGTTGTCTTATTAGTGTTGTAATTTCAAATAGGGGCTTTTTAATTGGCATAAATTTAGAGATTTGTTAAGCAAATTGTTTCCTTTTTTTTTTTTTGTTAGGGCAGTTTCCGTTGGGATTTTAATACCCCTTCTTGGCTTTGTGTCGTTTGGCTAAGTAGACTCTACTCTTATCTATTAAGAAAATTCCTATGTTTTGGCGAAAAAGTTACATTTCTTCCTTTTTTGTTGTTGTCAAATTTAAAATAGGAAAAAGTCTTTTGTTTAAATGATTTTTTCAATTTGAGAATAATAGTGTCCATATTTTTTATTTATTTATTTTCTTTTTAACGAATGATAATATACTTATTAAGTTTTTATTGTACCTATAAACTTTTATCAATAATAATCTACCTATTATCTTTTATGAATTATATTTTACCTATTATTGTGAGTTAATAAAAATAGTATCTATACTATTCAAAATATTATGTACATGTCTTTAATTTATAACAAGTGTACATAATTTTTTCAAAGTAACGCACTTATTTTATATATATAGAAATAATGTACCTTGGGTAAAAAAAGAAAAGGAAAAAATAAAAAAAGGCTTAAATGTCAAAATAGTCCCTGTGTTCTAGCACAATGGCCAATTTAATCCATGTGTTTTTAATTTGGCCAATTTGGTCCTTGTGTTTAGCATCATTAGCCAATTTAGTCCATTCAGTTAAAATTGTCATTAAATATGAACATAATAATCTTTTCTTTCATTTTTTTTGCTTTTGAAAACCTATAAAGCTTTTTTAAATTAAAAAAAGTTGAATTGATTTTAAAATATATTAAAACTTCAATTAAACTAACATAACATTAGAAAAAAAAAAAAAAATGAAGAAGAAAAAACCTTGAAAAAATGAAGGAGGCGTAGTCAGGGGAGGGGAAGGGCTGCTTAACGATTGGAGTAGTAGGAAAGGGGTTGACCATTGTGGGGTAGGGGAGGGTGATGAACCTTGGCACACAACAGAAGAGGAAGAGATGGGAGTTGGAGATGGTGTGGATGATTTTGGGAGCCGTGACTGAGGATGGGGCAAATGGCTAGGCAATGGTTGGTTGGGTTTGGGAAGATCTTGCTGGGAGCCGGTCGGGTAAGGGTAAATGGCTAGGCAATAGTTGAACTCAAACAATTATGTTTTTTAATTAATGTTTAAATAGTTTAAATTTTTTTTAACTTAGATTTAAAAGAATGGATCACATTGACTAACAATTGTAAACACAAGGACTCAATTAGCTAAATTAGAAACACATGGACTAAATTGGCCGACGTAATAAAACACAGGGACCATTTTAGCATTTAAGCCTAAAGATTTAAGGATATTTTTTGGGTCGAAATTCGAGGGTTTTTATTTTGTCGAAATTTTAGGGATTAGAGGGAACACCAAACAAAAAATTGGAGTCATTAATGTGCTAAAAATCAGGGAGCTAATGACATGCTTTAAAATAAATTAAATACAAACCATGAAGGTAGATCACATATATTGTAATTTAGTTAATAATAATAGGGCATATCCATCTTATAAGTTTGGGTTTTAATTAGATTTTTAAAGTTATGTGAGTTTATGTCTAGGATTTAAAAGTTGTAAGGAAATCTATGTGAATAACCCAAGACGACACATTGCAATGGGAAGCTTGAGCACACAGAAATGACAAAAAACCAAAATAATTTTATTCAACTAAAGAAGGGTACATACGCTTGAAGTTGAAGATGACAATCCAGTCTAGTAGGGGAGGAGCCCCCCCTACCTAGCCAACTTAAGAATCTTAGATAAAAATGCTAACTAATTAATAATATTATGGAATAGGGTTGAAAGAAAATCAACAAAAGCAATGGCAATGATGATGGTTGCCAAATAGTTTGCA